AAGTTATTCTTGTTTAAAGTTATAAAAAAAATTTATTATAAAAAATTTGCTTGATTTCTATTGACTCACCCCCATATGTCTAACTATTTTTTATGTTATTGGACTGGGCTGGACATTGGATATAATACTTGGACATATGTCCAGTCCAATATGTCCAATAATTTAAAAAAAAATTTTGATAAAAATGTGGCCTAACAAAAAGTTTCTCTTAAGAGATTTTACTATATATTTCACTAATTTCTAAATGCTAACCTTAACTTTAACAAACCTTTTATAAATTTTATCGACAACACTTGATCATGACTTTCTCGGTATGATACTGTGAAGATTTTTGATTGGCTATTGTTACATAATTTATATATTACACAATGTCCAATATCCAATACTTTTAGTCCAATGGATTGAACTAGACTGGACTGACTAGACATGGACTGGACATTGGATATGTCCACACATTCTTTTATAATAAATGCTTAATAAATCATAAATATCCGATTACATAATTTATTGACTAATTCATAAACCATTCTAACCTCAACCATTGGAGTTAAACTCGGCATGACAGTATCAAGCTCTCCCTTAGGATGGTTATAATAGCACTAATTTTAGATATTTGGGTTCAGTGGGTAATTCTGGTTTTTCAATATTGCACTAACAATTCACAACACGATAGCAGAAATGACAGAATACTTAAAATGTATTCTATTTATAACACCACTCTATGGGTAACAAAATTCAATGCTTTGTTTTTTTTAAAATATATTTAAAGATTTTTCTATATTATCACTTATATGTAAATAATGTCAGGCTAGAGTGGGTGGTGCTCATATAATTTTTATGGTGCACCAAAAATATTTTTTAGATGATTTGGTACATAGTGCACCTAACTGTGTACTCATAATAAGTTTGTTAGAATTTATTCTTTTCTAAATTAGTTTTTACTTAATTTTAATTGAAATTTTTTGATTTTATTGCAAATTCATAGATACTTACAGGAAATAAAAAAGTATAGCAGAGATTTTTAAATAAAATTTTTAAAGAAAATTTAAATATCTAAATATATCTGAATCTATTTGAATAGGTTTTAAATTCTATTCATAATACAATATGTGTAAAGTATAAATAAATTTATTTACTAATTTTTTTTAAAAATATCCTCTAAAGTCCAATTAGTTATATTTTTAGCTTTATCTAAATTTCCTTTTATGTTGTCTGATGTTAAGGATAGGGGGTATGTTGATTATTTTTAATATGATCTTAATGTCACAACGTGATTTTTGCAAAAATTTGAAATATGCTATTAATAAAACTTTTCACCATTACAATTAATTTTTATCAAATTTTTGTAGTAAATAGATTAAGTTATGTTCTTTATATAGTCAAAATTTTAATAAATAAAATATTTAAAAAAAATATACTTCTATATATTGAAAGTTTTCCGGGGTGAATCAAAATTTTCTGGGGTTACACAAAATAATTAATTTTGATTGGTTCAAATCATATAATCATCTTATGATTTAAAACAATACCTATTCTTTAAATACATATATCTTAATGAATATCTAACCAATTTCAATGATTTTACTACTATTAGAATCAGAAAAATCTATTCTACAACTTTTACTTAATTTTTATAAATAGTTTACTTAATAAAATATTAATTAAATTTTCAAAAGAAAATAATTGTGACACAAAAATCATATAAAAATTGATCAATATACCCTCTACCCTTAAAATCAATTTGTCAATTATATTAAAATTAATAAACTCTTCTATAAATAATTCTGAATAATTTTGCATAGATTCTAAGCAAATTTCTTGAATGTTATTAAACTCTAACTTATTATCTTCATCATTAATTAAATCTATTAAATTCAAAGAAAATAAAGTATTATAATCATCCAAAGTATCATTATCTTGTTCGTTTCTAGTTACTAATTTTTTCTCTAAGCTTTTTTTAGAAACTTCTGCAGATAATGCAAGTTTAATTTGTGAAATCATTTCTAATGTTGAAGTACTTAATTGATTTCGAATTTTGGTTTTTGTCATACTTATACGTGAAAAGAGTCATTCTACTTTAGCAAAATGAGGACGAATTAAAAATATCTTTAATGCTAATATCTTTAATACACCAGCTTGATAAGAGATCTGTTTCCAATAAGTTTGTGGTTCTAAAGTTGTTAAATTAAAAGATGAATCATTATTTTAGTAATCTAATAATTTTTGTGAAATTTGCATAGCTTCTTCATATGTAAAATTCCACATTTGTGCGAATGTTAATGCATAAACTACAATATCATCAAAGGTTAATTTTTTTGATATTGCAATTTTCTGAAATTTTGGATTCAAGAAAAATGCCAAATAATATATAGGTTCATCAAATTCTTTTGCACAGAAATTAACTATGATCAATTAACCTATAATCAAAATCTTCAAATTCACTTGATTTTAATTTTTTATAAATAACTAACAATTTGGCATATATATTATCTAAAGTTGTATTATTAGACTCAAGCTCTGCAATTGCATCAACAATATATAGTAAATTGTTCATTTTTAAGAAAATGTCGACAACTTGTAATTATTTATTTAATTTTAGTTGGAATGGAAGGATATTCATTAGGAAAGTTAGTATTATACTCAAGACAAGCTTGAAAACCACCTTTATGGTTTTGAACTGAAAGACAAACTTTTGAAAGTGAATATTATCGAGTTTCACAAAAAGTTTGCAGCCCATTTTTAACATTATTTTCTAATACCTATTGTTTTAATTTTGCATTCCAAAAGTGAGCTAGTAAAAAAATTTACTATTAATTATATAATTTGCCATTGCTTCTTACGTGCTTCAAATATTTGATCACAATATGTATACTTAGTGTTCCAAATAAGCTAGTTTAAATGGGCTTATATGCAAGGGGTATGCAAGGGGTGCATATGTATGCATAAATTATATAAGGAGTACATATGCATATATAAATTATGTAAGGAGTACATATATATATAAGGAGTGTATTATATATGCAGGGTTATATAAGGGGTATATTATGCATTCAGGGGTTATGCAAGAGTGCATTATGCATGCAGAGTTATGCAAGAAGTGCATATACATGCAGGGTATGCAAGGGGTGCATATTTTACAAAAATTTACAGTCTTTATATATTTAAATATATAAAGACTTTGTAAATTTTTGTAAAATATGCACCTCTTGCATACCCTGCATGCATATGCACTTCTTGCATAACCCTGCATATATAATGCACTTCTTGCATAACTCCTGCATGTATAATGTACCCTTTGTATAACTTCTGCATGTATAATGCACCCTTATATATATGTACTCCTTACATAATTATGTATGCATATATACTTCTTACATAATTTATGCATGCATATATACTCCTTGCATACCCCTTGCATATAAGCCTGTTTAAGCTAGCTTATTTAGAATACTAAATGTACACTTTGCACTATAGCGCCATGCTTTATTATTTTTAAACTCCTTTGAACACAAAAAGCATACCAAGATTCTTAGGTGGTGATATAAAATCCTCATTCAGATTTAAAATATCAGACTCAATAATATCTTCAGAGTCTATGATATCTTCAAAATCTATGATATTTCAGGTTCCAAAATATTTTCAAAGTTGATAATTTAAAATAAAGATGATGATAAGAAATATTATAGATAGAAAAATGAGAATTTAAAACATTAAAGGTAAAATTTTTATATAAATATATAAAGAATTTATTTAGCGTTTAAATTATATTTAAATTGATCGATTAGATAATATTTAGAGGTATTTAGGTGTTAAGAACTATTTTCTTTTAAAGTATTTTACTGCACTTTTTTATATATTTTTATTAACTATCTTTGCTAGCTATTTTATCTCTTAAAACTATTACTCCTTGATATTTATTTTTCTTTAATCACAGTTCAGTTTGGGTCTTTTACTAATCTAGAAAATCTAATACAGTCCAAAATTAAAACATAGGAAGACAATATAATATATGCAAGAATTGATTAAGATACAAAACAATTGTATATAGTCTAGGCCGAATAAAACTAATGTAATAAATAGCGAAAGAAAAAAATTATGAAGCAAAATTCTCTTTTTGTGAGCATAGTATAAAAGAACTTGTAACTTGCATAACACTATTCTGATTCTAATCGAGCCCTTTTTTTTGTCTTTATAAATTTTACTAAAAGTAATATTGCTATACATAATTGACAATCACTCGTACCAAAATTTCAACTAACAAAAAACAAACCTTTTGTTGGAGAGACGTGGCTCTACGATGCAGTTTGTCTAGAGGGCAATCTTTGCCTATTGGGGGACTCCTCTAAAGGACGTTCGGCATGCAAGCCAGAAGTGTTATTATACAAGATAACTGGCAAGAAGTTGCCACCCAGGTGCTCTTGTATAAAAAATCTTGGTGAAGGGAGTAAGTTACATAGTAGGCTGCTACTTTGTCAATGAAGCCCTAGGCCATTACTTCGAAGAAGAACACAGGAGAAACAACAAAAGTTTTGGATTTTAACACACTCTTTAGAAATTTTGAAAGTACCTGCAACTGAAGACCTTCTACCATATTTTTGCTATTTTGGAATTTTTTTTGAAATTTTGGCCAAAAAGTAGGAAAACTAGCATACCTCTCCAAAAGATTAGCAGTGTTTACTCCTTTCAAATTAGGACGCGTCTACCGAAATGGAACCTCACACGAGCTTATTTGGATTATGCTTTGCCAAATAAACAATGACAGCAGTACTGTTTACAGTATAGGGGATCGGAGGAATCACGTGTAAAAATTTCTTAATGTTAGACGTTTTCTTTTATTTCTTTTCCACTTCTTTTATTACATATAGTGTTAGATTAGATTTTATTCTATACAACATTATATAATTTATGCAGCCTTGCACAAGCAAAAATAGTGCTGTCATGGCCGTCCTTTTTTTCAGCCTTTTTCTCCTTTTCTCTCCTTTTCTTTTTTGATTGTTTTTTGTTTTTGTTTAGTTTAGATTTTCCCCCTTTCTACTATTCCTTTTATTTCGTAAATTTCCCATTGTTCTTTGGTAGAATTTTTCTATCTAGGAGGCTAGGTGAAGAAGGTTGGGAAAGAAGGCGGTCATGATGGCTGATGAACCAGGTTGGTGAACTGGGGCGGGTTGGCTTGATGTAGATTGAACCAAACCGGGAAGATTAAAATCATCTTTGGCAAGTCGCACACAGGTGCATGAATATTTAGGTATTCTATATAAGTAACCGGGTGAGTTGTATTCTTTTTTCTTCAGATTTAATTAATGATCAATAAAGCATGGGCATGTAGCATGATCACTAAAAAAAAAAAAAAAAAAAAATATTACTATACATAATATTTATAAAGCTACTATTGCAAGAATTTAATACAGAAACTGTATTACAAAAGCTAATATTTGATTAATTACTAATGCAATAAAAAATATAAGCACAATAAACTTTTATAAATATTATCATTTGATGCATCTTTGTTTTGCAAAAATCAAGACCAACCCTTAAACAATACTGTGATAATAGTCGTACAAATCTATATAAATATTGGCACAAGAATTTTTGATAACAATACTGCAATAATAGTTATACAAAGAATTTCTAATATGTACATACATACAATATACACATATAGATATCTAGTTTCTTTTTTATATTGTAATCTTTATTATCATAATATATTATATTTTCTCGTCTCTATAATTATTACTAGTCGTTACCTTTTGTGAAAAAATAAAACAAGAGTTTAAATTATGTAACCTATTACTTATATAGTAATTTTAAGTGATTAACTCTATGATCAATTGTTTCATTATCAAACTTATTAATAAACCAATTATTTGAAATACATGTGACTTGTATATGTATTTGTGAACTGAATTCACAGATAATATATTGTTATAATCCCAAAATAGGGAAAAAATATTATTATCAGAAATAGAAGAATACTTATCTAGATTCTTGAGCAAAAAAATGAGTATTTTTATAAAAATGAAGAAATAATAAGATCACAAAGTCAAGAATTATTAAATAGGTTTTAATTTTTTTTTTATAATTTTGATTAGTAAAGATTTAAAAATTATCATATAAATTACCAAACTTTGTCAAATATATAAAAATTTTAAAACATGAATTTTAAAATGTATATATTGTAATAATTATTCTGTATTGAAATATAATGCCAATTCAAAAATTTTAGCCAATTAATGGTAAAAAAAATAAACAAATATTATTGGCTCGCCACTCCTGCACTATACCCATATTGGCGTACCAAGTGGTGCACCATATTGGTACACCATTGGCATTGCCAAGTACCTTGCACTACTCACTCTATGTTAGGCTTATAATAATAAAGAATGTTTTTTATTTATAGGAATTAATTTTATTTATATTACAATTGAATTTTATACCAGTAAGCAGCAGATAGTTCAGCTTTGTATTAATTCAAATAATTCATCAATTTCTTTATCCAGAACTTTAGTAATAGTCTTATTTGTGCTAGTTGAGTATTTATTCATAAGTGTCTTTAAAAGATTATTTATTTGTTTAATTTGATGTTGTCATGTAAAATTTTAGTTATGTTAAGCATAAATCAATTTTATGTATATGGTGCAAGACATCTATACTCAACAGTTACATGAAGTGTTTCAATTTTTTAAATGGCTATAACTTTTTATCTAAGAAGTTTTAAAAAAATCTGACTAGTAACTTTATAGAGCTATATCAGCTCTACATATGTGCCAAATATCACTTCAAAATCTCATCACTGTAAAAAGTTTTAGTGATTTGAAAATTGAAAATTTATATATAAATTTATAAATTTATATATAAATTTCCAATTTTCAAATCGCTAAAACTTTTTACAGTGATGAGATTTTGAAGTGATATTTGGCACATGTGTAGAGCTGATATAGCTCTATAAAGTTACTAGTCAGATTTTTTTAAAACTTCTTAGATAAAAAGTTATAGCCATTTAAAAAATTGAAACACTTCGTGTAACTGTTGAGTATAGATGTCTTGTA